GTAAGGGGATGTTAGTTAGAATGCTTATATCTCAAGTATGGCTGGACCGATTTTGACAAATTTTGTCAATTCAGAATGCCTTTTTGACATAAAGGAATAAAATCTAAAAAAATCGCATAAAAAGGTATCAATAATGATGTTAATATAGATTATGTAGTATTTTGTGACATTTTTTAATTTTTCATATTTTTATCGCATGCGATTTTTTCAATTTGACTTATAATATTTTGTAATATTTTTTCACCTTACAACACAGGTTGGGGATATTATATAAGTATTGCAAATATGATCCCATCCTCACGAAAATGTTCACAAGGGTATGGTTGGGCTCAGAAGGGCTAGGCCTATTGTTTTCACAGATGTCCGCAACATATTAGGGGTTGAAATGGACCAACAACTAAAAATGTTCCTGTTGTTGCAGCCGTTATAAAGGTCACAAATAGGAACCAAAGGACACGAAATCTCGCATAAAGTTAGAGTTTAAGACAGCGGGTACAATAGACCACTAATTTTGTGTGAAAAAATACCAGCATTACTTACAGGCGATATCCGAAATACATAAAAGGCGAACTACTGGCTTTTTTATGCTGATTTCGTTGACGAATATAGCCAAATATCGTAGACAAGCAAATCATATAGATGAGTCTAAATTTGGAGATACGGAGGGGCTTCTTGCTTTTGGAGATGATTGCAAAATATTTAGGGGTTCAAATTAACCAAAAGCAGAAATGTTTTTCCGATCACACAATTGAAGCCAATCGACACGCCTGTGAAGAGAGTTAAGGACAGGGAAGAATTCTAGCTTTTTGGATGACCATTGGATTATATTTAGCTGTAAAATGAACTACAACAACTAACAGCCCGACGGAGGGCATAAATATTGGGCAAAATCCTAATTTCAAAAGCGAAATAGTCAAAATCCTAATTTCAAAAGCGAAATCTTCCAATATGGATTTAGACATAAAGGGGCTTCTCACATATTGTAGTGTTGTAGGGTATAACATAGTCGCCCCGCACGACTATAGCCTTTGCTAACTTGTTAAATATTAAATATATTTTTCCTCTTATCATTCTCATCGTTCCCAGCCGCCATTACTTTACTATTCGACCACCAAGTGGAATTCGGTTAAATATGCAAGTGAAGATGTCAATGGTGTGGTGTGTAAATTTGCATTCGTCAGAGCCTACCAATCATGTACAATTTTTTGCGATAGAGAACACAATGATTACACTGATAACACATAACCATCATAACCTGGTTAATTTTCGTGGAAAAATACAAAGCCTACAGTTGTATGGAGTATCATTTCTCCAGCTTTTAAAAATATTTTCTGAAACTATTCAACTGTAATGTAATGTAATTGAAACTTTCAAAGCTGCTTGGCAGCTTATTCTTGAAACGAAGAAAAGGGAAGCAAGTGTTGGCGTCACTCTAATAGTAGTAGAGTGCTAAATATTGCATTGGTAGGGGTTAAACATGAAATCAGTCGAATCACGTGTATATTGAAGCTATATCTATATCTAAACTGAATTTATTCAAGCTCGGCAGACTTTATTCCAAACGATGCTGAAAAAAATTCACTTTATTTCGGCTTCAAATTATAACTGTTTTAACGATCATATATGGAATGTTTTAATTCTCATAAATTCCCCACAGAAAAGTTTTTTTTTGTTATATGTAGCTCAATTAGAAATGTTAAGTGGTGTAGGGTATCGTAAAGTCGACCCATACGACTTTGGCCATTCTTTACTGTTTTTTTTTTTTGCAATTTCTCCCCAATATTAAATTACTAAATTCTTTAATAACTCACATTGGATATCCAACAAAGATATCGTTTGAATGAAAAACATATGATTTATGGAATGTGGTTTACATTGCATGTTATATATGTTATGTATTAAATATACATTTTGCAACAACAATATACATGAAAAATCTACAAAATGTTATTTAACTCGGTACAAATTAACATAATCATAGTTCACATACATTTGATCAATACGCTTTAATTTCACCAAAACCTTAATAAATTTGTTTTTATACCCTCCACCATACTATGGAAGGTATATTATATTTGTCATTCCGTTTGTAATACCTCGAAATGTACATTTTAGACCCCACAAAGTATATATATATATTCTTGATTCTATGTCAAGTCCGTCTGTCCGTCTTTGGAAATCACTCTAACTTCCGAACGATATTAATTAGGTTGATAAAATTTTAGTCAAATGTATATTATGTCTGCAGGACTCTTGGTATTGAAAATTGGTCATGTAGGTCTCCGTTATGGTATAGCCCCCATATAATGATACCTCCCTATTTTCGGTATTTTGGTGATTTTTTTTTTAAGTTTCACATCTGAATTTTGTAATGTCTTACGACAAAAGTTGTTTATGCAGGTCCACGTCGTCATACAGACCTTAGCATAACAGCTACATTCGGTATTTTTAAGAGTTTATCAGAATTTATAACGGATTTTATTTTTTTGAATAAATTCGTTCCAAATGGTGGAGGGTATTCAAAGTTCGTATTTGGTATTTCGGTATTGTTAGTTCGCAATGGGTTCTAGCTCCACGTTTTAGTATAGCTCTCATATAACGGTACCTCCTGATATTCGGTATTTTGATGATTTTTGCTACATTTTTTTTCACGGATTTTCCTAAAAATTGTTATTTGGAGTTCGCAAGGGGTTAACGCTCCGGTGGCGGAACATAGTACACACATAACGGTACCTCCCGATATTCGGTGTTTTGATGACTTTCGCCACATTTTTTTCTCGTATTAGAATAAAAAGTGGTTTTGTAGGTCGTTCTAGCTCCGGTCGCGGAACATTGTATGTATAGGTCTATGTTTTTGTCTATCCCCCATATAACGGTACTTCTCGATATTCAGTATTTTGATGATTTTTGCCACATTTTCCCACAGATTTGTCTAAAAGTTGGAATTTGTAGGCCATATTGGGCTCTAACTCCGGTAGAGTAACATTGTATGTACAGCTCCGCGTTTTTGTGTAGCCCCTTATAACGGTACCTCCAGATATATATTTTTTATATCATTTTTGTCACATTTTTCCACGGATTTGTCTAAAAATTGATATTTGTAGTTCATAATGGGTTCTAGCTCCGGCGGCAGAACATTGAATATGTAAGTCCACGTTTTCCTATGGCGCACATATAACGGTACCTACGGATATTTAGTATTTTGATTATTTTTGCCACATTATTCCACGGATTTGTCTAGAAATTAATATTTGTAGTTCATAATGGGTTCTAGCTCCGATGGCAGAACATTGAATATTTAGGTGCACGTTTTCCTATAGCGCACATATAACGATACCCACCGATATTCAGTATTTTGAAAATCTAAGTCACATTTACCCACGAAATTGTTTCAAATTTGTTATGTTAGAACATTTGGTAAATGACAATCCTTGAAGTATACAATTGTCTATGGAGGTTCGGTTTTGGTGTGGTCCCCATACAAAGGTCTCACCCACTTTATGGTTTGTTCAAAAATTTAATAGCATTATCTAAACAGTCTTACTGGTATTTGTGGTTTAAAGTCGAAAACGTTTGAACTCAGATACTTTTATATAAAAATGTTTTCTTTAGCTAATGGCGGAGGGTATTAGAAGATCGGCCTGGCCGGACTTAATGTTTATACCCTACACCACAAGGTGGTCAGGGTATTATGTCTTTGTGCATTTGTTTGTAACAGGCAAAAGGAAACGAGATAGACCCATAGTTCCTTTTGATGATCTGCATAGAATCACATTGTGAGTCGATTTATGCATGTCCGCCCGTCCGTCCGTCTGTCCAAATTACAGTTCGCATTTATTGTGCTATCCAGATGAAATTTTGCACAAATCATTTGTTTGGCCCAAGGACGAACCCTATTGAAATTGGAGATAATCGGTCAAAATTTAAACATAGCTCCCATATATATATTCGTCCGATTTGCTTTTTATTGTGCACCAAACGTGTAATATCAGGCCGAATGGTATGTAATTTTGCACATACAACGAAATTAGGCCTGAAAATAAGTATGCCAAATTTTCGAAATTGGTTCAGATTTAGCCATAGCTCCCATATATATTGTTCATCCGATTTGTTATTTTTGTCCTCCGCAGCCGTAATATGCACTCAGTAACAACAATACTTTGGGAAATATATCAAATACAACTCAGAAATACATTTGCTAAATTTTATCGAGATCGGTTCAGATTTAGATATAGCTCCCATATATAACTTCGCCCTTTAACATTTTATTGTGCACCAAACGTCTAATATTTGTCCAAATGGGATGAAATTTGGCACTTACGACCGAGTCTAGAAGCTAGTATGCCAAATTTAGTGAAGATCGGTTCAGATATAGCTATAGCTCCCATATATACCCTTCTTCCGATATTTGTTACCACAACTGTAATATGGACTCCGTAACGACGATATTCAGGGAAATATATCAAATACAGCTCAGAAATATCTTTGAAATTTTATCGAGATCGGTTCCGATTTGGATATAGCTCTCATATATATCTTTATTCGATTTCAAGTTAATTGTGCACCAAATGGGTAATACAAGATACAAATGCTTCGGTATATTCAGCCCTTTGAACTTTAAATTATAATCATGGCGTGCTTGAACTTTTAATTGTTATGCGGAGCTCTACTAAATTAGCAAAGTGGCTCCGCCCGACTTTAAGACTTTCATTACTGGTTTTTGTTTTTTTTTTCTGGTTTCATTATTCTTTTGTTTAATAGATTTAGTTAAAACAATAAGCGTTTAAAATTTTATACCATTAGCAATTTAAAACCTTTTCGTACGGCTTATGAACACTCAGCAGGACATGAGGCATAGCTGCCTTTCATTAACTTCTTAAATAACATCTCACACAATAACAAAATACCATTCGTTTATGTATACACAAATGCAACTGTAATTATGTCGTAATTGTCCCGATGAAAACACCATTATCACATTTCCAATCTTTTAATTACAGACCACTATTCTACGGATGATGGACGAAGAAGATGGTGTGGTAAATAGGCGAGGTAAAATGAAATTACCATCAAAAAAGAAGGGCGAACATCGTGTGCTCCTGCAGGCAGAATCAGTGGACGACTTGTGTTCTTAAAGAGCAATCGGAATACTACTTTAAGCAATATTAACTGTGTACTCTTTTTTTCTAAAAATCTGTTAGCTGTGAATTGCAGAATCTAAATACGAGATTAGTGTCAACTTTTTAGTTAAAACATATCTAAGAACTTAGAAATTAAATATGGCTTAACATGTGTAAATAAGTTAGTTGCTATGTAAAAAGTAAAAAATACATACATATGTATGTATGTGTGAATAACTGAGAATGTTATCATTAAATATGTTAAAGTATAAAAATGTATTCTTATTAAGAAAGTCTTTACGGGTAAGAATACTCTGTTTCCTTTGTTGACTGGTGTATTGATTTCTTGGTGCTGCCAAAAATGTACTTACTTCCATTTGGTGTGTAAATATTCTGTTTCAGCATCCTTAAAGGCTAATTAATTACTACTTTGTTAACAATTTTCTCGGAGATGGAAATACGCAGAACTATGTAAGGTAAGTGGTGGTTTAGCTGATGAAGAAAATAAACCAAAAGGAGATCGAAACTTAAAATATAGAACACTTTTTTTAATACTTTGTCATTCCATTTGTAACACCTCGAAATATACCTTTTAGACCCCAAAGTATATATTCCTGATCAGCATAACATTATATGTCGAAATTCTCTGTCTGTCTGTGGAAATTGCTCTAGCTACGGAATAGGTTGATATAATTTTACTGAAATGTGTTTTTGATCTGCAGGACTTTTGGTACTGAAAATGGGCTATATAGGTCCACATTTAGGTATAGCCACCATATAACTGTAACTTCCAAAAATCGGTATTTTGATGTTTTGGTGACATTGTTCGCCGGAATTGTTTCATATTTCGTTATTTGTATTTCCTAATAGGAACTATAAAAAATTGTCTATGCTGGTCCAGGTCTTCGTATAGCCCCCATACATTGGTACCTCACTATATTTAGTATTTTGTTGAATAAAATGTTTCAAATTTCGTATTTGAAGTTCCTAATGAAAATTACAGCCTGTGACAGACAATTATCTAAGCAGGTCTTCATATAGCCCAGAAATGCCGGTACCTCCCTATATTCGGTATTTTGATGAGTTTAGCTAGATAATTCACCGGAATTGTTAAAATTTCGTATTTGCACTTCGTAATGGGTACTACAGCCTGTGACAGAAAATTCCTTGTCCATGTCTTCGTATAGATCCAAAAATAACGGTAACTCCCTATATACGTTTTTTTTTTTAAGATTTTAGTAGAATCTATAACGAATTCTATTTTTTATTTATTTGTTTTTTGAAAATTTTCAAATTCTTTCCAAAGGAGGGTAAAGAAAGTTCGGCCGGGTCGGTGGGTATCGTTATATGTGCGCTATAGGAAATCGTCGACCTAAATATTCAATGTTCTGCCGCCAGAGCTAGAACCCATTATGAATTTCAAATTTTATCTTTTAGACAAATCTTCGGAAAAAAAGAGGACCTTTATATAATTTGTTCCACCACCGGAACTAGAACCCTTTCATTCATTCGTACAAATCCGTGGAAAAATGAGGCAAAAATCATCAAAATATCGAATATAGGGAGGCACCGTTATATGGGGCTATACAAAAACGTGGACCTGTACATACAATATTGTGCTACAGGAGTAAGAGCCCACTATGACCTACTTTTAGACAAATCGATGATATAATGGGGCGAAAATCAACAAAATACCGAATATCGGAATGTACTGTTATATGGGGGCTATATCAAAACATGGACATATATATACTATGTTCTGCCACCGGAGGTAAAACCCATTGTGAACTACAAATACCCATTTTTTTGGACAAATCCGTTAAAAATGTGGCAAAATCCATTTCAGGACACTTGGAGTTGATCTAGGGATATCCGTCCGTCCGTCTGGCTGGTGCTCACGATAACCCTCGAAGGGCGTTTCCGATTTAGTATAGACTTGGCACGTCTTAATATTAGTGTCAAAGTTAATTCGTGTTCGGAGATGGGCAATATCGGTTCACTCCTTCTGATGTAAGATAGAGTAATTTCTACAGGCAGACGAAGATGACTAATTCAACATAGAATATCATATCATTGTTTTAGAGTGGATTTAACGGGCATGAGGGACGTAAATATAAAATATGTATGTAACACACAAAAATTTGTCTGAGCCTAATTAGGAAAGCGTAAGATTTCTTACCATTGCTCGTAAATTTGTGTATTGATTTTTGCTCTTGTTGATAATGTATTTATTTTCTTTTTTTTTTCAACTTTGTTTTTTAACATTCTGAAAAGTAGTTTTTTCGTTGGCTTGTGCTAATTACAGTAAAACTTTTTTGTCTATAATGTATTTTTCGTTTTTTGCAATGGAAACTTTTTAAAAACTTGGCTGTTAAGTAGCCGATACACCAAGGGAAAAAATAAACTAATAGAAGCTCAAAGTGTTTATCACACTCTTTAATATCGAATAGTGGACATAAATACAGGGAAGCAACTTCAATATATACTTTAAGTTCAACGTGAAAGTTTGGCGGTCAATGTCATGTTTTCCTGTAGTATGAAACAACCTGATTGTAAGCCAAGTCTTCAGTATGGCAGCCAAATTTAAAAGTATCATTAATTATCCAAAAAATTGTATATTGGCATTTAGGCATCATGACAAAATTCTTACTTGACAATGCCATTCTCAGTCATATTTGGAGGGTTTATACTTTAAAACAAGTTTACAACAACCACTCCTCGAAAAACATGAGGATGTTGTCGTATTTATGAATGGTTCATTGAGATTTGTGCAGTTAGGGAAAAATGTGTCTTTATTTTTGGTTCATCAGAACATTTTGGTGAGAGATAGAATTGTCAAAAGAAATATGTGCTATTTAAAAAATAGTTTCTATCAGCAAACGCGTTTTAGGTTGATTCGGTGAGAAATGATTCCACACCAACTCAGATTACTAAAGTTCTTCTACTGGTTTGTATAATCTACAACACTATGGTATTTTGGGTTTGATTGGGCCAACAATTATGTAGCACCTCGCCATATTGGTCCAAGACCTAGGAAACTATATAGGGATTTTCCTAACGCGCCGGGCTAAGTCGCTATAGCTATGCATGTCCGTCCGGTAATACGCTACAGGTCGCAATTATGGCCCGATCCTCATGAAATTTTGCACGGAGGTGGGGTTAAGATCAGGATAGAAGTCTACTGTTGGAGACACAAGATATAGTGTGAAGATTGGATTTACCGGTCCACTCCATCTAGTACCTCTCCCACAAAGGTCAACAAAACTGTCATAAAATGCATAATAAGCCTCCAATATTCTTCAAATTTCACTCCTCACAATGTTTACTAATGAATAATACAAATCTGCCCACCCTTTTTTGGTATCTTCCCAACAAAGGGTTACAAGTTTCAATAATCATATTTCACACACAAAGTCGGAAATTCTTGGATTATTTAAATCAGGGGTAGGCAGAGAGCCTTAAGATTTTTATGTGATTGTATGTGTTTTGAAATAACAAAATATTGCAAGTGTTTTTGCATCTCTTTACACAGTGAGAAATAATTTGTTATCTGTAAGTTTTCAGTTATAAATTTTCTATTTTCAAAACAACTCCAACTTTTACAATTTATTGTTTAAGTTTGCTTTGTTTTTAACGTCAATTTGTAATCGGAATTCGTTGGTAGAAATTCGGAGCTATATTTAAACAATTATTTCAATTATGATTCATTTAAAAAAAAGAGTAATATAAATGTCCTCCAAAAATATATAAGTTGATATTTTCAGAAATTTTAATAATTGTAATGAAATTTGTGTTTAATAAATTCGGACATAACATGCTAACCATCCAAGTTGATCCTTTAAAAAGTAATACCGATTACTACAGGCTGATATAAAGGCATACGCAAATAGTCGTAGAATTTTATTCTGATGAAAAACTCATATCCTGTGTTGGGTTCTAAAAGATTATTTCTATCTATTACAAACAGAATAATAATGATCACATCTTGCTATTTTTCCTAAAATTTACTAAGACTGTACATGTCATTTCATTGAAATCGAGGGATATAAAAATGTCTATTAATTTAGAAGGACAATTAATTTTTCGGCCAATATGAAATTAATTCCTAATTTTTTGGTTTCTATTAACCATAACAAGAGCTATAAAAAGTACGTATATATTAGTGGTGATGAAATGTGTGTTTAATAATTTCGGACATAAAGTTATTGACCTCAGGTTAAGAGGTCATTGACCCCAGGGCAACGGGTCATTGACCTTTTCTCTCCCTCTCCCTCCCTCTCTCTCTCTTTTCCTCCCTCTCTCCCTCTCTTTTCCTCCCTCTCCCTCCCTCTCTCTCTCTGTTTTCCTCCCTCTCTCCCTCTCTCTCTCTTTTCCTCCCTCTCTCCCTCTCTCTCTCTTTTCCTCCCTCTCTCCCTCTCTTTTCCTCCCTCCCTCTCCCTCTCCATCCCTCTCCATCCCTCTTCCTCTCCCTCCCCCTTCCTCTCCCTCCCTCTTTCTCTCCCTTCATCTCCCACCCCCTTCCTCTCCCTCCCTCTTTCTCTCCCTTCATCTCCCACCCCCTTCCTCTCCCTCCCCCTTCCTCTCCCTCCCCCTTCCTCTCTCACTCCCTCACTCCCCCTTCCTCTCTCACTCCCCCTTCCTCTCTCACTCCCCCTTCCTCTCTCACTCCCTCCCTCTCCCTCCCCCTTCCTCTCTCACTCCCTCCCTCTTCCACTCATTGACCCAAGGTCAAGAGGTCATTGAACCCAGGTCAAAGGGCCATTGACCTTTTCTCTATTTCTCTCTCTCTTCCTCCCTCTCTCTCTCTTTTCCTCCATCTCTCCCTCCCCCTCTCTCCCTCAGGTCATTAACCCCATGTCAAGAGATCAATGGCCCCTTCTATACACAAACCATTCAGGAATTTGTATCAGATACCAAAGTTTATATTTTCTCGTGGTCAAATTCCTCTGTTTCTTATACTTTCTTTAAATGCATCCGTTTTTAAAATTGTAGCTCTTTTAAATGTTTATTTTGCATTGCTTTTCCCATCATTTTTTTAATTTTCTAAAAAATATAATGGGATTTAATAAAATTTTGAATTTTTTATACCTCTGTGTTGGGGGTATTATTTTATTTTAAAGTTTGGCTCTTCGATTGAAGGGAAAAATTAAATATCCATTAAACATAACAAGAGCTATAATAAGTACGTGTGTATTAGTCGTGATGAAATGCTAACCATCTAAGTAAGTAAAAGTAAT